AGCCCTGACATTATCACTAACAGTCTAAAATGACTACAGTCAGTTACTAAATAATGATTAATAGAGCAGTCGAACCGTTGTAAAATTCATCTATAAGCAGAAACCCTTTATCCTTTTTTTGAGCCTATCCCAATAATTGTATTTTTTATGAGTGCATCTTTTTTATAGGCATTGTTTATTAAAGAAATGCTCTTTGAAGGATGGGTTCATCTAACTAGAAAAATCTTAAAATTTTTGCAAGCTCTGATAGTTCTGTAAATCCAAGGGGATCGCTAGTTTTACGCTGCAGTATCAACTTCTAACTTCAAAAAATGAGTCACAGCTCCCTGGTGGGGCTTTAGAAATAGGAAATGGAATCACAGACATAACTAGTGACAAAGCCTCCATCACCTCACATACGATCGTATTCCATCTGTAGGAATTCTGGGTCTATAAACCCCAGAAAAATAATACACATCCTCGTCTCATGCAGTTTTTTTTCCCAATTCATTCAAAAGGTGTTTTCATGTCCAAACAAAGGAAATGGTGTCATTAATGATATGTATTGTGAACAAGGCCTATTCAAAGCTGTTTTTTTTTTTATTTTTATAAATGCACAGATAAAGGGGTTGATCTCTTTCCTAACAAAGGATCTCTAAAATATGAAGTGAAAAGCTACCCAAGATGAAGCTGGTAAAGAAACAGGCAAGGAAGAGCCTATTTCCACAACACAAACAGATTTCCTGGCCTTTAGCAGTCTCTTACTGGGATACTTTGAGACATATCCATCAAAACACAGCTGTATTCATTCATATTTCATACCTCCTCCTTCTCCCAGTGCTTTAACACTGTTCTTTGATCAAAGAAGAGAAGTCGGATCACAACAGGAAGGTTCCCTGCCAGCCAAAAAGGAGATGCAGTACTGTACATGACTGCTGTCTGTAGTAAATCTCCACTTATACAAAAAAAAGTAAATAAATAAAATGTTTCTGTTTAAAAGAGAAAGGGAAAAAAAATAACTTTAGATATTTCTGTCTTTCTTGAGATTTCTCTGTTGTTTAATTCTGGTAAAATTGTACAAAATTGTTAATCTGAATTTATGTAAAAGTAAAAGAAAAACTCCAGTAGTGAGTTTGAGATAGAATAAGGAACTTCACTGAATATCTTTCAAACCAATTTAAACCTCTGTTAAATTGAAAAGAAATACAGTTTAAGCAACTTGGCTGAAGGAATTGCTGAGAGAGTGACACCTAGGATCAGATCCAAAACATACAGCTCAAGAGTGTCACCATGTGGAGATAAGAAGATATGGCAAAACAGTATCAGAGCAGCTGTTTTAACAAATGTTTCACCTAAGACCCACAGAGTTCAAGAATTGTAAGGGTATTTTCAACATTAGGGCCAATTCCACTTTCTATATAATTATATTTTCAACAGCTAAATTAGGTTTCAGTAAAATCTGATTATTTCCATCCTGTTCCTTTATCTTGCGTCCAGGATGTCAATTCCAAGACGGTGTATTTCTAAGGACCCCTTTCGGTAAGACTCTGGGAGGGAGGGAAAAAAAAACGTTTGAAGACCTCCCTGACATTTAGACTCTCTCTGAAGATGACTTTGCCTTCTACTATTGCCTGCGGGAACATAGTAAGACCCACACTTAACTTCAGTTGAAATGCAGCGCCAGAGTCCTCCAGGGGAAATTATCATTCTGTTCGTAATAAGTGTCACAACAAGCACCTGGAAAATGACTTTATTACTCTTCCTGTTTAAATAAAAGTTTCCGTTGACCCATGGGAAACACATGTAGTGCAAGGAAGTGTCCTCAAAAAGTATTCACACTCCTTATACCTTGTGGAATTTGGCCTATTTCAACCACAAACCTGAATACATATAATTGAGATTTTCTGATCTGCTTTAATGCATGGCAGAAAAGTACCCTAAGTAATGTAGGGGACAAATCAGCATAGGTAAGAACATGGGCTGCTCAAATTAAGCAACAAAAAACAAAACAACAACAGCACATTTTTGGGCTACTACATTTTGTGTTGGGAAACACTGTACATCACCATTAAAACACTGTTAAACATGGCAGTGGCATGGCATGATGTGGGTATGTTTTTGTCTGCAGGGAGAGTGAAGATAGTCAGAGTTGATGGAAAAGGGTACAGACAGAAAAAAAAACCCTTTTGAGGAGGTAAAAGACTTTAAACTGCTTGGACAAGTCCACTAAGATATTGCTTTCGCTTCAAGCGATCAAACCACACATGGGGAGCAATGATTAGCGAAGCAGCCAAAAAACTCATGGTTACTTTTGGAGGAGCTACAGAGCGATCCACAAGACAGTCGGGAGTTTCTGTAAACATGAAACACACTAGTTGTTTTCTAATTGGGCCTTTGTTAGAGGAGTGGCAAGAGAGCCATTATAAGACATGTTAGGGGACCGAAAAATGTGAAAGAAGGCCTTTTATCAGAAATTATATATTTTAAACCCATAACAAAAGTTCAAACTAAGTGTGAACACATAAAAAAAGTAGCACATGCATTGTCAAACAAGGTGGAGCATCGGGATGTGATTTCTTAGCTGAGGAATATATGAAAAAGATGAGAAAAAGATGGAAAGAGCAAAATAAAGCAACATTCTTTATTTCATCACAGTCTCTCCTGCAATAAAGGAGAGAGTCTTTGGTGTTTTTCTACCTCATAGACGTGTTGTAAACATATACTGTACATATGCACCACAAAGGATGCAGATTTTTACCTCTAAAAAGATTTGGTTTTTTTTCCACAGTTATGCATTGTATTCACTCTTGTAGAATGTCAACAAAATATGTTAAAGTTTATGAGTGTAACACCAGAGCAAGTAAACATTTTCAAGGTGTATGAATATTTTAACAACGAAAAGGAAACACCACAGTGTCTGTGTTAGAAGTTATGTTTGATTACAGACTTGTTATGGATGAACACCTGCTTCAAAGTTTTTGATCGGCGTGCTCGTTGACTCTTTGCCATAGCCTTGGACGGCGCTCTGAGGCCCCGTTTTTCCTTCAGCCATTATCCAAATATATTTTTATTTTTTCTATTTTTTGAAAATGAATGGCACGAAAATCAAAGTATCAAAAATGCATCGACTCCTTATAATAGAAATCCCTCTGAGCAAGGACATGTAACAATGGGCCATTCTTAGCTTCCTGTCCTTTCCCTCTCTACGCCAATGAACATGACCTCCACCGTTTTAACAATGGGGGATCCCGCAGCATAACCATACATGCGCTTAGGCTGCTTTCATCTTTGTTGTTATATTTAAGGATGACATCCTAGCCTGTCAGCCTCTAACCATTGTCTTTAGCTTGATTATTTTCTACGCGTTGTTTAGCCCCAGTTGTGGCTCTTTGATGAAAAGGTCGCCACTCAATTGGAAAACAGTCATTAAAATGCGGTTGGTACTATTCACCGGTGTGCATGGGGGAACCAACTCAACTGAGCTGGTTAATCAAAAGTTAATTATATAATTTTCATGCAGATGAGGGAAACATTCAAATGAATCCCAACTCTACAATCATTACAAAAAATAAATAAAGAAATAATTCTAAAAGGCTATAAAATGTTCAGGGACCAGGAGGCTGTAAACAATATGAAGTTTAATTTGAGGTAAACAAAGTGAATATCCACCAGGGGGTCTGGGGAAGGAGAAAGTGAGGTTAAATCAAATTTGGAAACATAGATACCAGCAGGTTTTGTTGTCCTGATATACGTGCAATTAGGCAGGTCCTTGATGAGGACACTGGGAGGGGAGAAAGCATGCTCTCATGGCTAATGCTTTGGGGTTTTTTAAACTGAATTTATGGGATTTTATGCTTTATGTGTAAACATTAATTATTCTCACAAAAGTACACCAAACCGAATTAAACCCATATTTTAAGAAGAAGTTGTAAAAGGATAATTATCTTTTATGAGCATGTTCTAAAATTATTGAACACCCCATGAAGACGAGCATAAACTCAATGGGACTTTCAGAAGGAAATACCCAGGACAACAATTTCCTCTGCAACTTTGTCCAAGAAGGCAAAGTATCACTTTTCAAAAATACTCAGCCTCTCCCCATTTAATGAAATGAGTGTGTTATGCAAATTGCAGACATGAATATTAAACCAATGAGGTGAAGTATCACAAATGAACAAGTATTGTTCTGGAAGTGCAGTGGAATGCGGTTTAATTTCTCTTTAATTCTATGTGCTCTTATAATGTTAGCCTTTTTCCCAGTTGTGCAGGCCAGTTTGGGTTCATTGGTGTGCATTACAACCACGCTCTAACAATGCAGGGCCTCCCCGGTGTCAGCACAGTTCATGAATCTCAGCCCCTTATGCACCAGGCGATTAGTATGGTGCTCTGTCTGTAGGGCTTTGCCAGAAAATGAGTTCTCTTTAAAACACATGCCCCCTGCTGATTCGTTTCCTTTCCTAATATGAAATTCCAATTTTTATAATGAACACCAATTTCATATACAGGGAGAAGAAAAAAAATATTAAAGTTATGCACTTCATCTGGTTTTGGATGGCAGTGGTTACCCTAAATTAGAAGAAAGCCGTCGTGGACGTTGCAAGCAGAAATGATTTAGATGAGTGTGTTTTTTTAGACGTGGGCTAATCAGCAGTCAGGTATACAAGTGCAGAAATCAGCTGGTACGCTTTTCCACATTGCATATGCATATGACTGGTGTGGCAGAAAATGGAATTACCAAAAGTGTAACAAATTCAATTAAGTCATTAATTCCTAATAAATTGGTTTAATCACCAGCTGTTGTCATGCTAAGATTGTTGTGTCACAAGTTTGTCATGCTTGTCGGTCGTAGCTGCTGTACAAAGGCAATTTATTGAATGTAAAAAGCTATAAAAGATCCTGTTTTTTCGCACCATTTCCAATGCAGTGACCAGCTCTATAAGGCATGTTTTACCAGTCATTGAAATGAAACATGACAGCCTGGTCAGGGTTCAAAAGTTTGTTATAATTGATTTATAGTGACAATAAACACATTTTTTGTGTTTAAAAAAGCAAAAATCTGAAGCAAGGGTTGACAGTTCATGGCGTTGATGAAAATACAGTCTGTCTTCTTTTTGTCGCTCCTTATTTATTCAGCAACCTTTTGTTTCTGTCAAAGTGACTGGAGTCATCAGCAATCTGGGAAGATTAAAATTGGACATTTGTTAAAATCTCAGCCGGTGTGACAAGTTAAACTATAATACAGTAGAAAAGTTCGCTCATTTCAATTATTCCATTAATATAGCGTAACTAAACAAAGAGTAATATACTGCATAATTAAAGTTTTCTTGTTAATCAAGCAGAGGAATACCATGGCCATTTAGAACAGAATCGATATTTCCTGAATTGTCCCACATCTGGGAAGTTCAGGTGAACCGGCGGCAAAGGTAAATGGAAGCATGCATAAATTAATGTGGGAAGGTGCCAACTCCTGCTTAAAAGTGAAATCAGCATCTTTATGAAACCTTTCTAAAGATAGGTATTAACATTGCATTTTCCTGGAGGGGGTGTCACTAAACTTTAGCCTTGATAACAAACAAGCAGACCAATGCATCATCTGAAAAGATGACGTAGACTTTTTTTAAAATCTGATTTTCATGCATTTACTATCTTTTATCAACCTTCAAAACGAGACAATCTTAGTTTATTTTTATTCCAAGTTATGTCAAAATCAGTTAGTTTACTGTCAGTTCCTAAGTGAACCACAGGATAGAGATGCTGACATAAGTTCTCCTATATTACAGTACATCACATACTCAGGTAAGCCACTTTTGAAAATCAGATGCAGTTACTGCTTTTTAACCAAAGGATGGTACCAAAGAGGCAATTTTAAACACAATAGCAGGATTTCAAAAGATCAGCAATAAACTGTTAAAATAATGTATTTAAAATGTTGACAGCCGTATATAGCACCCATATCTATACAGTTTACTAGGATAAAAAATGTTTTTAAGGGAAAATTGTCCTTTATCCACTGACTTAAAGGTATAGTGGAGGATTTTCATGAATTTAAAAAAAGACCCGCCCTCTACACTAAAAAAAAAGGCACATGCACAACCCTGTACCCGCTCCCGAGGGGGAGCATCTATTAAATCTGTGAGAGAGCGTGCACGAGCCCATTTCTCTTCGTGCAAGCTTATTTTCCAAAAGAAGATTTGCGATTTTTCCACTGTGTCAGACTCACCACCGGTAAGTGAAAATGGGGACAAGCGCATAGGACAGCCTTACGTAAACATAGATTTACGAATGTTTGACAATTAGGAGGACCCCTTATTTAAATGATCCACCCGGAAAAAGAAAATCCTCCTCTATACATTTAATCGACTGACTTGTAAATCTTGAGAATCTCTTGAATGGCTGTTTCTCAAGACTATGGTCATGGTTGGTCAGTTGTTTTTTTTTTTTACTTTTTTCCCAAATGAACTTTCAACAAATACATTCAGATGCAGCTCTCTGTGAAAATCCACCTTCTTTTGCAAAGACACTTTGCTAATTAGCCTCCTTGTTGAAGGTGTCAGCTTATGACTACTCCCCACGATAGGACATGACTTTATATTATCCTAGTTATTTGAGAAAATAAGATATATTAATTCGATGAATTAGATTTGAAAAAAAGAAGGGTTAAATTATATTCTACTTGATGATTTGCACCTCTTTGTAAATAAACATCTTATATGGAAGTCAGATTAGATCTGAATTATGGCCGCCACTCGATTAGATAAAATGAATCATGCACATATTCAGTCAGGCAGCATCAGAAAAATAAAAACATTCATTAAGTAGTTTGTATATAATCATTGCCACTTTGGAGCATGGTGACTACAGAGGCATGATGTACATTAATATTGTACAATTGAAGAAAACATCAGTGATGAATTATGTATAACAGGCACTTACATTGTATGGCCTAAGCCTCTCCTGGGCTTGGGCACTCGCCTCTTCAGGAAGAGACACCACTCCCCCTGTGCCCATCATCTGAACATAACAGGACACATTTGGAATTAAAACCAGCGTTTGAAATAAAACTTTACCTAAAATCACCAGTCAGACTTCACAAACCAGCTCTATGAAAGCATGTCTTGTAAAACATGTCTTTGATTTAATAAAGTTACCACATTTCCTGAAACTCTAACTCCTCATAAAAGAATCACTCACCCTGATGGTTGCCTCCAGCTCTCCCACGCTTCTCTTTCCACCTGGTAGCCATCCATAGGACCAGTGCTGGCACAGAGTGACCTGAGCCAGCAATGCCAACAACAGCACCTGCACCATAACTCTGCTGCTCGCCTTCATTAAAGCTGCAGGGAAAGCCAAATATGTAATAAAAACAATAATGTCACAACCCTGCAGCCCACAGATGCAGAACTGCAAACACAAGCATCACCAAATGCAAACAGACAATCATCTAGATCAGTTAAGCAAAACAACATTTTAACTTCATGAACATTGACCCAACTCCAATGAAGACTATCTCACCTCTGTGTTTGCCTTGTTAGCATGTGGTGCATTAGCCAGGGGGGGATTTTATAGGTGTTGTACAAGGCTGCTGTCAGGATTATAATCCCCTCTTTGCAGGTGTGACACATTTACGGACTAATGGGACACAAAACACAACTAATGGAGCTGGCTAAGTGCTCACATATGCTGAGATCACGGCCAGGCTTCCAGAGGCATTAAATATATATCATAAAATGTCTTTGTGATGTATTGGATGTATCTGTGAGGTGGTGCTCACTAAAAAAAGACAACATTTGGATGAAACCTGACGTTTATCTCCATTTATAATTTATTGGACACTGCTTTTAGCAAACAGTTGCTGAAAATCTGCACAGATACAAAAGGCAGTGAAACATCACTTAAACAAGATGCTTGTGCATTTGTTACAATTGCTGTAAGGCTTTAAATGTCATTACCCTTATTCGTTACTCTTTTAGCAAGAGAGTAGATTAAAGTCAGCGGTGCAACTGGCAATGATGAATCACCGCAACTGAGCTTTATATACATGAAAAACAAAAACAAATAGAAACAACAATGATTTCAGTGTAAACCAATTATTTAGATCTACAAACACAGAAAAAAGTTTTGCATACAAACTTTAATGCTTCACAAATAATAATCACCAAACTTGCAAAAATATATATTTTCATTTAAGCAACAATGTTGAAGTATATCAGTTGGTATTGTGGTTGATATCAGTGTGTGAGTGTGTCTGCATGAGAATTAGATAAGCCTTCTTTAATGAGCGGTTTTGTTGTTGCTGTAAACTGGCGCAGCTTCACCAGTTTCTATCAATCAAATATTGAGAGTTGAGCACAAACACAATAATTTTTATTTAAAAATTTAAAGCTTTAACATTTAAATTTTAAAATATGTAAGTCAATTTAGTATATCTTCGACAGCTTAAGTTGAAAACCTTAATTTGATTTTAATTTCTTTATTTGTTTGAGAAATTAAAAAATCAAAACCTTTTATAAGCTGAAAACCATTTGTCTGAAAACCTCAAATGTGACGCAAATTGTTTTACTTTCATGACATTATCCAAACAAATTAACTAAATGACTTGAAATAAAGAGAATTCCGGTTGTTTGTTTTGATAGGATTTAATATCCCATTTTATCAAGATAATACCTCAAGCTTAATTTGAACTAACAGTATTTTCTTGTCATTGCAAGATAATGAGATTCCACTCTTTTTGTTGTTGTTTTGATAGCGGTTCAACTATCTGTTTTAAGATAATGAAGCTATGAATTTATTTTTCCTTAATAACAAGTTCATCATTTTATAAAGAAAGTTTGTGTTCCTTTGAAAGATATACAGAAAAGAAGATATCATTGGACATATCTTTTGATATCAATTTCTAATTGCATGCCATCCTGTTCTAGTGTCTGCTAGATTTAAGCACAAACAGGCACCCATCGTTCTACCGGCTGAGGCACTGATTCATTGAATACAGCAACTCAAGAGGGATGTAGAAGCCCAGAGGACAGCCTGCCAAGATGTATAAAAGTTGTGATTGAATATCAGTTATTGTAACGAACATTACTCTTAACTTGTCTCCTTAGCATTATTTTACAACCGAAAGCTATTTATATTTGTAATTTTTATGTAAATAATATTTATGTCAATGTTTCAGTTTAAAAATGTTGTTGTTGCTAACAGTTTAATGACCAATAACCAATAATGACCACATATAAATAGTAGAATCAGATAAACTTAAGCTAATAAATCATTTTTCACTTTCTAATCTTTGCATTTTCAATCATTTTATATCTTAGAAGAATTTGAGATGTTTTATAATATTTTGCAGGTTGACCCAGCCATGACTTCATTAAGTCCTTCCATTTATGATAATTCTCAAAACATACTGAGCATTATGTTTTAGCAAATTAAACATTTAAGTGAGTCTGGAAACACTCTCAGTAGCTGTGTGTTAGTATAAGTGATAAGGCTCCTCATCCAGGGCGACATGACCTTGGGGAGTTTGGGGGTACTTCCCCGCCAGTCTCGGCTCAAATAAATGTTCTATTCCTAATTGTATGTACAATCAATGTGATATCTTTCCATTTCAATCTTTCCTGTAATCATTCAGAAAATTCTGACCCACCCTCTACACTTAAAAAATAATAATAATAATAATACACATGCACAACCCTGTACCTGCTTTTGAGAGGGAACGCCTATTAAACACATGAGGGCATACACAAACTCATTTGTCCTCATTTTACTAGCAGTGATGGGAAAGGGATTCCAAACTTTACCTGTGGAATAGAATCAACAGAAGCATCAGTGGGAAGGAAGCCCAACCTGTGCTTTCAGTGTACGGCATCACGTGAAAGAATCTCCCAAAAAAAACGGCTGAAACTGTGACTCAAACATATACGCCTGAAAGTGTACATGCTCATAAAGATAGCGTCCTGGGGACAAGCACGTAAGACGGCCTTACATAAACATAACACCAGAATGTTTGACGATTAGGAGGACCACTTATTTAGAGGATCCACCCAGAAAAAAACAAACATTCTCCACTATACCTTTAAGTCCTTTAGATTAGTTAACTTTATAAAATTCTGTGTATGAAACATAATTGTCCTGATATGGAAATTCATTTTTTATTGCTTGATGAATTTATCCAATTACAAAGTATAAATACTTCTTACATTAGATTTTTATAAGGTGTAAACAGCTTTTAGGCTTAACAACTCAAAGGTTGAGTCTGGAAATGTATGGCTTCTCTGGTGAAGGTTTTTTTTTTTTTGGTGCATAAAAAAGGGCTCAGCCAGGTTGCTTTTCACTCTTTTTTTTTTCTTCATACTTTTCAAGGTTGTGAAAGAGTTAACTCTATTTTCCTGTAGCAGTCTAACAAAACAGTCACATGAGGTTACTGTGAATTAAAATAATCCTCAGGCATGGGTGTGTGATGAACCTTTTACAACCTGATTTAAAATCTATACATGAAATCCCTCTTCAAATATATACCACATAAAAAACAGATATAGCAAACAATTGGCTTCACATCATTTCATTTGTGTCACTTTGTGACAAGTTTTTCAAGATTAGAACTGTGTCTAATCAACATGGCACTGATTTATACAAGATGGAAGCATGTAAACCTGGCTCAGTACAATGTATAAAAAGGATTATTTTATAAGCAGAATGTGATGCTTGGCTGGAAGGATGCATCTGAATTTTTGATATAACACATGACTTCCTGCCTGTTCCAATATGAGCTAATTGAATGTTGCTAAGCCAGGGAACCAATCCACTAATATTTATCGCCACAGGCAAAACAGAAGTTAGTTAGTGTGGTTGAATCTAATTGGAGAAGGCAGCAGCTTTTAAGTGAATCCCAGACAGAACAGAGGTACTGTAAAGCAGAAATAAATGTATATGACAATTTCTGTTTCTGTTTCTGCATAAATATTATTTACATAATAAACTACTACCTTATTTTATCAACATGTTATTACAATAGAATCAAATACATTTCATTCAGAAAACCTAATATGTTCAGATTAGGTTGGATGTTTTAAGGAGATTAAGCACTATAGTGCTCCTGTTTCAAATACCTCCTTAATCAGCTCTGGTATTCTAAGTGCAAAATGTTCAAAGCTTAACAAATCAAAATTTAATTAAAAAACAAAAAACAAAGCACACTTTTATTTGACAGATGTATATACAAAATAACCTATTTAAAATTGGCATAGTCTGAGAAGATGTCGATAAAATCCTGGACCACTCTGTAGCAGAAGTCATATTGCTCCTAGAAAGGAAGCCAAAAAGAGAAGCATGAGTAGAAAATGTTGAAACTACATAACCATGGATGAGGTAATAAATATAAAGTGATCTTGCATTTCTCTTACCACAGTCTGAACCATGTGTGGTCTTTGCATGCGTAAACTCTTGACTGTCTGGAAAACATCCAGAAGGCCTTCGGCTTTCACTCGCTCCAAAATGTTGCTCAATGCAATAAAGGTACCGGTCCGTCCCGCTCCAGCACTGTAAACACAAGGTGCAAAATTCATAGCAGCAATGTCTCAAAATAAAAACACCAGAAGTTTCCTTTTATCTAATTTTTTTTTCCCATCACCTGTCTTACTAGCTTAGAGGAAGCGGTACCAAACTTTAAGATTTGCTCTACAACAGTGGGATGTCCCTATAATGAGATTTGCCTCTGTTGCATTCAGAAGAACTGCTTTTCTCTCATATTTGATAACAGTTGTTATAAAAAAATATGTTCAAAAGGAATCCACAAAAACAGATTTTTTTGAATGCATGTATCTCATAGTGCTCCGATTTAAATGAAACTATTTGACTAATCTCAAAAATCAGAAAACCTAAAAATAATCCAGATTTATTTGATTTTGAAATAAATAAATCCATTATACTTTAAATAGGAAGTGATTGCTTTCACTTTTTAAAATTATGTTTTCTTTAAGCTTAAATGTGAAAACAGCATAGAGTTATCTATGACAGAGAGTTGACATTTCCTGTCATATTTCTTAAAGTTCTCCTCTGATTGGTCAATCAGCATCTCACAAAGACTCCTCCTCCAGAACGCCATGACTACAGAGAAATGGAAAGAACCAAATTCAGAAACAAGTCTTGCACGAGATGCCTGATCAACTGCCCAAGGCTCATTTGTGATTAGGACGCAACTAATGATTATTTTGCAAATCGATTAATCTGTCAATTATTTTTTCGATTAATAATCAGAGCCAAAGATTCCTTCAATAGTACTTTTTATGAAATGAAATCAGGTGAAACTCAAACTTTTCCACTTGAGGAGTTCTGGATAGAGCATATTGTCAGACACATTTTTTTTTTATCTTAAATGCAAAATGTTTTTATATTTTATTACGGTCTTGGTATAAATACTGTTCTTAGTTTTAGAGCCTATACTCCAGTTAGCAATTAACTGATTACTAAATTAGTTTGATGAATATCTCAATAATCAATTAATCATGATTTATCCAATCAATTGTTTTCGACCTGGTTGTGATTAATGTTTTTGTTCGTTCTATATAATAAATATTTTTAGAACCACATTGTATGGTTCCAAATCCAAAATGTGAAACCCTCTTATATCCAAAAG